TTATAATGTTAACATACTTGGAATTCACCAATAGGGGTATTGAATTGTTTTCTAGTATGGACGTAGGGTAAAGAGTAATCCATGACAGCTTGCATTAAACTAAATAGGCGTTAGCATGTGCTCAAAAATATTTGTATATATGTATAATATTGTCATACCCAACTGGACCACCAGAAAGTACTAATCTTTCAGCATCTAAACCACTCATTAATACATAGACACCAGCACCTTCTTTTCCAAGGACATTTTCAGCTAAAAAATTATATTAGACTCTGTACAATGTATAATAAATCAAGCTGCAATACCTGGGACTTCACAATTATCGAATACTAACTCACAAGTGTTAGATCCTCTCATACCAAGTTTATCTAATTTAGGAGAAGTAGAGAATCCAGGGAAGTTCTATTGTAGATGTTAGGATTCTTGCTAGTAAAGTCAATAATATTAAAAATACCTTTTCAATCAGGAAAGCAGTAATTCCTTTGGGACCCTTGGAGATATCAGTCTTAGCATAGACAACTAAGACATCAGCATCGGGACCGTTTGTAATCCACATTTTAGTTCCGTTTAAAATGTATTTATCACCCTTCTTTTCAGCCTTTAATTTCATTGAAACTACGTCAGATCCAGAGTTGGGTTCACTCATGGCTAAAGCACCAATATGTTCACCAGAAATAAGCTTGGGTAGATATTTTTCTTTTTGGGCTTCGTTTCCGTTTCTAACAATTTGGTTAACACATAAGTTGGAGTGAGCACCATAACTCAAAGCAACAGAGCCGGAAGCACGACTGATTTCTTCCATTACGATACAGTGAGTGAGGTAACCAAGGTCGAGACCACCATATTGCTCTAAATTGGTTTATAAATAAATAAACAAAAACATGAGAGTAAAGTTTCAATTACCAGGAGCGGTGATACCCAATAAACCCATATCACCAAACTTCTTCCACATATCCATAGGAAATTGGTTATCTTTATCGATTTGAGCAGCACGAGGAGCTAATTCCTTTTCACAGAAATCATGAACAGTTTCACGAAACTAGAATAAAATAAAAAATTAGTATATACAATAAAGCTAATATATAGAATAAAATGAAAGGTATTCTATATTGTGAAATATAATAATAAAAGAGTATTTACATGAGCTTGCTCTTCGGTTAAACCAGCGATTTTAGGATTGTAGCCACCAGCAGTGACAATAGTGCGTTGGAAAGATTTGGTAGCAACCTAAGTAGAAAAGCGAGTTAGTTTAGTGAGCTAAAGGCTTAATAATATAGTTTGTTACTTTTGTAGAGCGTAAAGATTTTAAGCAAGTAGATAATAAGCTCATTTTTGTTGGATTAAGTATAAGAGATGACAATTCGAATTTGGTAACTCATATCGAATATAAATTAACTTTATTTTAGGTCTTGTGATTTTGTGGACCGTTTTTTAATTAAAATGCGTTCTTTTTAAGTTAAGCTCATATATCATGTTAAAGCAGAGTTAATTGATCAGCTTTATAATATATATATTAAAATAGCTTTTAAGCTGATGTATTCATATATTACTATAATCTATACTAGACAAACTCTAAGATTGTTTATTATATTTTAGTATACTGCAACGATTAAAGGCTATAGTTAATATATTACCCGAAAAAAATGGGTAATATTTTGTTAATCACTCTATTTATAGAAATATTAAACAATTGAGCTATTTAATTTTAAAAATGAGTGAATGGAAATATTAACATAACAATAATAGCTTATTTTAGTCTTGAGTTTTTAGATAATAACAATACATAAATATAAACACACTAAGCTATCATAGTACTAGTAGAGTTAGTAAACTAAACGCAAAATAAAATTATGTTCACTTTATGTGAGGAGTTAAATAAATGATGTGAAAATGAAAGCATCCTCAATACAAAAATAAGCCTATATTTTTTGGTGAGAATAAATAAAATAAAAGAAGTTTGCTATAAATTAATAAATTAGGTATATAAATTAATCATTTAAAAGTGTATAAAAATAATACGTATTTAAGAAATAAAACTATGATATATAATGTTTTCTGCATATTGGTATATTCTCTTTTCGACATACATGGCAACTTGGCCGAGAGGTCTAAGGCGTCAGGTTTAGGCCCTGATCTGGAAACAGGCGTGGGTTCGAACCCCACAGTTGTCATATTCTTTTTGTTAATTTTATGTAGCTCTTTATTTATTTTACAACTTAGCTTAGAGAGATGATGTAATAGTATTTTGCTTCCATTTTAATTTTTAAATTATTTTTTATTGTAAAAATATTTAATATTTATTTTCTAGCGATTCTTTAGTAAACAACATGTATATACTATTAAATTACCAATATAAAAGAAAATTATAAGGAATTCACATAGGAAACTATCTAAATACCAAATTCTAATTTAGCAATAGTCAAAATGTGTAAATTATTAAATGTTCATAATGTAGCACCATAATTCATCACATATTTTAAATCGAATAAATATTCCTAATTAATTATGTCAAGTCAATAGACTATTATATTTAAGAAACGTGCTGATATTCTTTATTTATCAGCATTAATAGAAACTGTTTTAAAATATAAACATTTTTGTATACAAAATATTACAATTATACTATATAAAAAATTTTGGACAAAATTTCTTCAATTTAACCAGAATCACTCATATGTATAGTTGTTTGCAAATCAAATTACTGATTTAAGCACATAATTTTAAGCAATTTAGAAAAGTTTGAGTAATTCAGAATTAATATCTAGTCTATATAGAGTTATAATAATCTCTTCTAGAAAGGACTCTGGTATAAATATTTAATTAATACAATTTAGATATGAAAGCTTATTAAAATTCTTTTTAAAGCTATGCTTGAGTAAATTTATTCTCTAACAAATAATTTTTCAGCTATTTAATATATAAAATCAATGTTTTTATATTTATCTTAAGCTAATTTGAACGTCAATAGAGTATTTTAATCATGATATCTATAAATCAATAATATATATTTATATCTTACTAATGGAATAATTAATATTATTTTGCTAATTACATAGTATCTAAGATGGGTTAAAATTTATATCTAAACAGCAAAGGATTAATTATCTGAAGATATATTACTATAAAAACATTAGGATTTCATTAATTGATTAGTTCAATGCAATGTTTTAAATATACTATGGATATTCAGTCAGACCTATAAAACTTCAAAATTCAGCACATTTTTTAATTAAATTAATATGAGCTATTTGTTATGCGCTAAATCTACAAATTTAGTGGTGTTCAACATTATATGGCAACTCTGTGCAATAACTATACAAATATAGTAAACTGTGCAAAGTTGAGAGTAATAATTAAAATTCTATTAACCTAGATTAACTAATTTACTTTGCATATTTATGGTACTTTAGATAATAATGCATAAATATATGTTTTTGGATATTTTAAAAGGTTGATATTGTTTTCAAACAAATATGTTATTTGTTATTAGCATAAAACAAAGGTATGTCACATACATCATTTGAAGTTAAATTGAGTCTTTTATGGCGGAGTTTAACGTATTCACTATTTTGAATGCTTAGTTGGAAAAAGAGCTGATAAATAGCAATGTAATTTGAATATTTATCAATTTAATTTTTTTTATTAAGTAACGATAGTTTATTAAGCAAAGCTAATGAAAATATGTGCATAATGGAAAGGTTTCACAACTAAATTTAGCAACTATTGGGAACAATTAGCAATTTTTGCAAAATTGCAGTATAATATTTGAATGCTAGTTTATATTATAGGGCTGGAACAGCATAGTTCTTGCTTATTAAGGAAATTCTTCCGAGCTAGCACCTAGTTCGATATTTTTAATAATCAATCAAATGCTGACTTTTGTATCCATTATCATATTCCAAATTCCTATTTCATCCTCTAGAACTAGATTAGTTATTTCTGTGATAAAAAATTAATTAATTTTTCTGAATAAAAGTGAGGATTTGCAGCAAATAAAAATTAAAATAGTCAGGGTTACCAGTTTAATGTGTGTAAAATTTGCTAAATTCAAGATTCAGGGCCGACTCGATTTCCTGCATATTGCTTTTAGTTGAATATTTGGAGCCATAATTTATAGTACTGAGATCTAAAGTGTTGCCAATTTCAGCTATGCTGCCATTATCCAAGAAGAAATAATAAAATTCTCAGTTATGTTAACATATATATATCTAAGCCAAATATAAGGAGAAGTATTGAGCAGGTCAGTTGATAATAGTTGACTAATGGGGAAAGAGGAAAATTTCTAAAACGATATGCAATTTTTAATTCCTAATTTAGTTGTTCTTATTCAAACTAAGCAAATTAGTAGGGGTATTTATATATACTCACTAAAAGTTTGATAATTTATCTTGATTGTGATAGTATAAGATCTAATTAGACTAAGAGTGATATAATAAACTTTAATAAATAAGCAGTTAATTTTATGTTTATACAATTTACAAAAATATTAGTCAATAATAATAAAGTTAGAGTGCAGGGGATTCCATAAACTTCCACGGGTCAATATGGCCACCCCAAATTGCTTCATTTTCAAAGTGAAAATCGAGAAAGTGATGTGGGTCTGATTCAACTGACTCCATTGTTGAAGTAAGCATAGGGAGAAATTCGCTTGTGCCTTCCCAACAGGTCTCGAATCGTTTCATAGTTCTGATAAATGAGGAGAATCTTTTTGTTAAATTCTTTTCATTAACTACGAGATAGATTGGACAATCGTCTTTAGGTTGGTAGTAGGGAATATTATGGAGCTTAAGTAGTTTGATATATTTCAATACTGCAATATAGCATATTCCAGCGTATTGGCAATATGAGCTTGGGAACCAAGGTGGATTATTGAATTGAGTGATAGGTTCAGAGTCAGGCGAGGCATTACTTGAATTAGGTTGTTTCGATTCTTGATGCTTAGATTGAATACTAGCAAAATCCTTGAGAATTCTAGCAATTCCATTGCAAGAAATGACTGCATTATAAGCCATGCTTAACATTGTAGGAAAGTACATAGTATACTCAGATTTAGTGAATAAAAACAAATGTGTATAAATTTTAGCTGAGTGAAAAATAACATATAATAGTATAATTTTTTGCGCGAAGCATACCATTTGGAAGTTCGAGGAATTGAATAGCTTTTTGGTGTATCTTAGTAACTTAGGCAACTGGTTATACTGGTGATCAATAGCTTGTACACATCTATAAATCTCAGAAATACAATCGTCATTCAACTGAATTTGTGGCGAATTTGCGAAGCTGCTAATATTCCACATAGTTTTGACTAAGCCCATAAACTGCTGGTAATACATTTTAACAGGCGAGGGGAGTCGCGATCTGGATGAAATAACAAGCTGCGTATCTTCATAGGATTTAATCTTAGCAGCTTTAAGCCTGGGCAAAGTTGTAACGCCTACAAAGTTTGGACGGCCCATGAATTGAGATGCGCCAAAGTCAATTCTGACTAATATATTCCACAAATTGCGTATACGATCTTTTTCTTCATTAGTTAAATCATCAAATAAAGTGCAATCTTCTTGGTCAATTTCGTTATAGCCAAGAAGTTGAGCTAGTCTAATAGCTTCACCAATTCTTAAGTGACCTTTTGTAGAGTAACCTCGGATTAAGTCTACAACACTCAAAATAGTTAAAGTTTGGATAAGCTCTAAAGACGGTGTATGTAGATTTAGTATAATATCATTTACTGCGAGGTCGTAAAAATATTGAGAGACGTCAAAGCTAACAGCTGCAAGATCTTGGTGGGAAGAATATTGGCTTGAGAGTGCATACATAGCATTTAATAAATATGAGGGCCTTGTTTTAATGTCAAAAAATTGAGGGATGTCCAATATCCTAGGTAACGCAAAATGCTCATCAAGTGTAAAGAATAAAGATACAAGATTTTTAGAAAGACTATTATATACAGGTGTTTTTTTAAAGGTTGATTTTTTAGTTAGCTGCAAATTAATATATGTGACAGTGCTGGAAATGACATCTTCATCAATTAACTCTCTCTCGCTGCTATCTGAAGTACTTTGGTCACAGCTAGAAGTTTCCAGATCATATATCTGAGTTTGTTTCTCCATAGGAAGAGTGTCTATGATAGCACAGTAGGCTTTAACAGAGTTTTCTAATTCATCTATTCTTTCATTAATTCTAAAAACAAGCGATTTTTTCACTGTTGGAGCAGGTCTTTTGTTAATACTTTGATGAAAAGGATCTTCAACAGGGACGCTGTCAGTTGGAGCAGTTGACGAGTTTAGTTGGAAAGAGTAGAAAGCACCTTGTGGTGAAGTGTTCGGATTATGCGAAGAAGTTCGAGGACTCATTAATTTAGATTTAAATAACAATAAAGTAATAAAACATGAACAGGGTTGATTGGTGAATTAAACAAAAACGATGCAAATAAGAAGGGCATTTAGTCTATTTATACCTCAAATCCAGAATTTTTAGATTAATCCATGTGTGTTGGAAATTGGGAATTATGTAATAAAAAATGCATGAAATTTAAATTTGTTCTAAAGAAAAAAGTAAAAAGAAAAGAAAAAGAGTAGCTGAATGCATAATACAAAGAAGATGATAAGAGTGAAATCATTTCTTAACGATATAAAATAAATATACCGCTTTGAATCAATATAAAAATTGCTTAAAGGTAAATAGCTACGCTTTACTTATTTTAGAAAGGTGCAAAACAACTTGCGATTAAACATAATACGTAATGTAAATGTTTGGAGATAAGAGTGCACTATATTGCACAGTAATTTAAATTTCTTATTAGAAAAGAACAAATTACATTAATTTTTATCCAATAATATTTAAACAATTTAAATTTGTGCATACCATTAAATTCGTTCAGTTCTATTGACCCGAATCTAACCAATAGCGAAATAAAACTCCCCTTAAATTGGATTTCAAAAAATACTTTTTATTGTAAAAATTTTTTAAAAAAATCAGCATATTTTGTATCAAAATAAAACTTGGAAAAGATTATAAATGCACAAGTAATTTATAACGATTATTAATCTATTACTATATAATTGGCCAATTTTATTCAACGAAGTTCAACCTTTAAAATCTAATATATCTCCTTATTATAAATTATTGGCGAGTCTAATGCAAAGTTAAATCATATACCATATTAAAACAATGT